CTTTTGATGTTTTTTCTACAGCCAGTAAACCCCCCAGCATGTTATCCTATGTGTCCATGCACACATAGACTGTAATCAACGTTTTTTGGCAGGGGCGTTTTTGGGCTGGAAAAAAACCCCAGAACTAGTGGGTTTCTAGAGGAGTTTTTTTAACTGTAAAAACGCTCTAATGCTAAAAAATGTGTCAAAACACGGTAAATCACGGCAAACCGGCGGTTTTGGACTTTTTTTTTTATTAAAAAAATGCTAAAACACACAAATGCGAAAAACAGCTAATGCAAAAAGGCTATAAAACCGCTGAAAAACTCAAGTTTTTAATGTGACTTTACACAGCTAACGTTACCATCGCTATTAAAACGCCCCGTGTGCATGGAGCCTAAAGCGTGTGCTGGAGTTTGGCTTCAATTTGTTAATGTACCTAAATCTGCTAATGCATCCTCCACTCCTCTCCCCAAAGACTGACAATGCTGCTGTCTAAAGGTGCCCCCTGTGCCCTTTCATCCAGAGTGGGGGAACTTCTATACATGAGGCATGTTACTGACCAGATCACCAGGAGAAAACAGAAGAAAAAAGGCTAAAAAAGAAAACCAATACAGACACCACATCTAATAATTGGTAAGCTGCAATATACAGTATTACATTTTTGGTTTTGGGTTTATTACTACTATAATATAAATAATATCAAATTTACCATCCCAAACTGTTGTTTGTTTGTATAAGCAGCTTAAATGTAAAGAACAGAAAAATCTAGTAGTTTGTCAGTTATCAGTAAGTAAATGTACAGTGTATTCCTAGCCAAGATAACTAACATAACATTGGACATCTGTAGTTACAGGGCAAAGGTATACATATGTCTTTCATTTGCTTTTCTGCTCTATGAATTTTGTATTTTATTATTTATGTGCTTAAATGTTAGATTTTCATCTTAAGTTTAGCATTTTGGGGGAATCTTCTGGATTGCTGCTGTCTGGACCCAATATGTATAATATATATTCTTCCTCTTAGACACAGTTTAAAATATAGTTATTTCATCTTCACTGCTCTCCATTCTGATTCTGTGTCTGCTACCTTCAGACCCTGCAGACTGTTACCGGAGGATGTTCTGACAGCAGGATAAAGACAGGTTATTATTAACATGCTGTTTAACATGGATATTTGTAACACAATAGTTCTTTTTAGTGGTCTGTGGAGATGGCATATAACATCTGCCCAAATCCTTACAATTTATGAAATAATGAAATAAAAATCTGGAAAGAATTTGTCTCTTAAATGAAAGCTTCAGGCTGGAAGTGATCAAAAATTTCAGAGCCAGACTCTGGCATGGCAGAGAACTCCTGACTGGACTTAGCAGCGTAGGCACCTCTCTCCAGGGGTATTCGGTGTCATGTGCTAACATTTGATACTTATTATCGCTCCAAGGATCAAAGACAGGAGCCAGAGTACAAAGCCCAGGCAGGAGCAGGGCAGTAACATGCACAAGAGGGATTAGGATCCTTTTCCATGAATTTGCAGATCCAGTGACAACGATAAAACTCTGCAAAGAAAAGGCAATGGCTTGCAGGGGGTCAGGGATGAAAATGCTATGCTGTATCTGGAATCACTTTCAATCTTTTATTGTGTAGTGATACAAGGTGACAGCTGACAGCTAGAATAAAGTAGAAATAAATCAGTCTCTCGTGAGCACAGATCACCCTTCCCCTTGTCTTAAAGTGAACCTGGACTGTCCTTCAAATTGCCAAAGTGCACTTACCTTGTGGTGCCCACGAGTACCCGATCCTTGGAAAGTCCCCTGGGTCATATGTCTAGGCTGTATAGAGCCTCTTTCTCAAGCAACACTAACTGCTGCCCCACATTCGACTGTCAAATAACCCCGTCATTCAATTGTCCAATAACTCCCTGTCATTTGACTGTCAAATGCCCTAGTACTTGAAAGGTGAATAAGTGTAGCTTACTGCCAGGATTTTTCAAAGCCATAGGTGAACCTGCTCTAGCTTACCTTAGTCAATATTATGCCTATCCCCTTACTATCGCTTATGCCTGCCTTTTGTAATTTATCTGTCAAATGTCAAAACTACAGGGGACAGTCTGGGCATTTCAATGATGGGGGGCTAGCACGAGTAAGTAGAAAGTCTAAAGCCTAGTACACAAGATGAGAAAAAAAGCTGAAAAAGACCGATTTTGCAGCAATTGTCCGATAATCTGACCCCTAGTACACAGCTTTCGAGAGTCGATCATGACAGTTCATGCAAAATTTTCCGAAGGGACACGCATGAAAAATGTTCTTGTATGATATCAGAACACACAATTTTCATTTTAATCAGTACAGTATTCGTCCAAAAAAAAAGAGTGACCAAGACTGTGCATGCTCGGAAATAAAAGACTACATTACAGTATGTAGCTCCACTCCCATAGAAGCCGCAGGAATACTTTCCAGGTCCTTCCCAATTACTTTGCCCCGCAACCAGGCACATAGTCACATTCATATGTTTCTCCAATAACCAGTCTAGGGGTTGTTTTTTGTTGTTTTTCATTTTTGGAAAATTGGGATAGGGATAGGGAAGTTAGTGGGATACTCCAAAATTAGGAACTGTCAGGGATCCCGGCCACTCGGGGGTGCGCGCATGCGCAGATTGCCGACACGCTCTACCCAGCGAGCACTGAGACTTAGGCGATCGCGGCGGCACCTGCGCATGCGCACTCGCGATTGCGGACGCGCGCCTGTCACTAATGAGAGCACGGGGCGCCCTATTTAAACCAGCCCTGTGCATCTCCAAATCGCCTTATGGTCTTGTTCCTTGTTCCTGTGTTCCTGATTGTCCTGTACTCCTGATTGCCTTGTTCCCAACCCAGCCTGATCCTGATACTGCTGTCCTCTCCTGCTCTGACCCCTGGCTCGTCCTGACCATTCTCTGCCTGCTCCCAATGCCTGACCTCCTGTTACCGAACCCGGCCTGTGACCTGTTATTCTTTGCCTGTTTGACCACGCATCCCTCTTCACATCTGGCTCTTACCTGCTCTACGCCATTGGCACCTGCCTCTACCACAGCTGGTGTTCCTCGGCGCGGTCGCGACCTGGTCTCAGGCTGCTTCAAGTCCATCCCCACCATCAGGGCTCTGGTGAACCAGCAGACTGAGGCTTAGACTCCGCGCCCTGAAGGACTCCGGCCAGTGGGTCTCTAGAGGCTACCGCCAGTCGGCCGTTGACAGGAACTATATACACTTGAGGACTTTATCTGATTTTCAGGGACAGCTATGTCAGAGTCCGTGCTTGAATCAAACATTGAACTTTATAGTTACATAGTTAGTCTGGCTGAAAAAAGACAAAAGTCCATCCAGTTCAACCATAGGAAAAAAAAAAAAAAGTTGTAATTCTATACCCACAGTTGATCCAGAGGAAGGCAAAAAAAAACCCCAGCAAAGCATGATCCAATTTGCTCCTGGTGAGAAAAAAACTCCTTCCTGATTCCCCGAGAGGCAATCGGATATTTCCTGGATCAACTTTACCTATGAATGTTAGTATCCAGTTATATTCTGTGTATCTAAGAAAGAATCCAGGCCTTTTTGAAGCAATCCACTGAGCTGGCCAGAACCAACTCTTGAGGGAGTCTATTCCACATTTTCAAGCTCTCACTGTGAAGAAACCTTTCCATGTTTGGAGATTAAATACCTTTTCCTTCAGACGTAACGAGTGCCCACTTGTCCTCTGTGATGACCTCAGGGTGAATAACTCTACACCGAGTTCACTATATGAACCACTGATGTATTTATACATGGTGATCATATCCCCCCTTAATCTCCTCTTCTCAACAGAAAATAAATTCAGTTCCTCTAATCTTTCCTCATAGCTGAGCTCCTCCATGTCTCGTATCAGTTTAGTTGCCCTTCACTGTTCAGATTAAGGCAGTAGTAAACAGTAGTAATAGTAATAGTAGTAGCAGTAACTTCTTTAGCGCCCAAAACAGTGTCCCTTTAAAAGTAGACCAGGTGGACAAAGCTCTTCGGAATAGCAGCTGGTGTTCCCTTTGTTAGACTTGCAGCTGATTTCTTAGCATCATAGGGAGTTAAACAGCACAATGTCTCTAAGACCCTTTAAGGATGTCTGTACTCACAAGGCCCAAGAGCAGATGGATGCCTTCCTCCGTGAACCCAGACCAGATCTTCACGAGACAGCCCCTTAGTCAGCATAGCAATCCAGGTCTCAGCATTCAGGGGCTCAGGTCGCCCAACTGAGGCTGCATGGCAGTAGATGCCTGGGAGGGCAACATGCCCTCTCTCAGACCTGGATAATCCTAGGAAGGAAAGACCCAGAACTCTGTGTTCTCCCAGAAAAAATACAGCTGCCCAGCATGCCTTCACAGCCAGTCTACATGGGATAGGCTGGGGCTGTATCAATATTCATGCTGCCATCTGCATAGCTCCATACCTATCATTCAGAAATTTCTAAAGTTTCCTGGATACAGAGGAAGCTAGGCAGACTGGCACCAGCTGAGCACACAGAGCAGACCAAACCAAATGATCACAGCTCACTAACTACAGTGAGCTATGTTTTTTCCTAAAAAAAATTTACAGTCACACCGACTACAGTGTGGCACTAAATTTACCTACCAAAACCCAAGCTAAAGCTAACTATCTAAACCTAGCACCTACCTAGGAGGGTGCTACAAATACAATACAATAAATTACATCACTTCCGAAGCTGTATTCTGTGTCCGAGAATTTTTGTAACTTTAGTAGCCTCTTCATTTTCGATATGAGATTAGCATGCAAAAACCAATCATTTGTCTGATATTGTCATTGTGTGTACTAGGCTTAAATCCTCACTTAGGCACAAGTCGAGTCCTAAGTGTAATGGATGGCGCAACTGAAGGAGGCTGTAAAGGTACAAAGGGATGGCCAGCCATACACTGTTAGAATTTCAGCCAATTCAGAGGAATCAGAGAACACCAGAACAGCATACATTACATAGAATATACAGAAGATGTTTTATAGTGGTTTAATACCTCTTCTGGGGTCTTCTGAGCAAAGATAGTCTTGGATCCACCATCTTCTTCATCAGGGAAGTCAGGGAACTTTCCTGTAGCATGTCTAAACATAGACAAAAACATTGCTAGTATCTTTAATATGAATCAGTACATAGAGTTATACCACTATGAACATAGATCAAGAAGAATATTGTGCTTGTTATTTACTAAAAACAAAAACTTAAAATTTGCGAACAAGAACACTTTTGATTGCAGAAGAGACATGCATTGTCTCTTCTGAAATAAAATACACTTACCTTTCTGTTCACAATCCCCTGTAGAACGTACACTGAGCTAATTTTACATTCTGGCACACTCACTGTGTGCCAGGATGACTGCACTCCTGCACATGCATGGGAGTAATGTCATCTAGCGGGGTCCATCAAGAAGGCCATAGACTGGTATCTAAGACAAGCTTGGGAAAAGATGCTGCATATTCTTAATGGCACCCCGAACCGGGTGCAATTTTACTGTATATTATAGTGTGACAGAATCGCGTGGCAAACTGTGCATTTAAAAACTAGTGTTTTGCTGGATGTTTGAGTCGAACCGTATGTTTGACTTGAACATTGACCATTGGTGTGGTCGCTGAACACATGAACGATATGGGCGTTCGGCAGGCGCACCCCACAATGTACTGCGCTTTGACAGGTAAGGTGCAATGCTTTGGCCAATCACAGCACAGGATGACATCACAAGGGGCAGGGTGAACCCATGACAGTATTTAAGAACTGTCATCGTGGTGCAGTTGCCAGACGGCGAGAGCCAGCGTCGCGAGCGGAGTACGTTTTTTTTTTTCTTTTTTTGGGTAGCGGTGGTGGCAGGCATCGTGACTGATGCTGGATCTCCTTTGGGGGACAATTTTTAAATTTTTATTTTTAATAAAGGACTTGTCAAAGACTGTCTCCTGTCTTTTTTACACTACATTTTTGTTTTGTGAATAGGTAGCGGTACCATGTACTGCATACTTATTCACATTGGGGGGGGGGGTCGGGATTCCGATAAGCCCCCCGCCCGCAGACCCCCATAACCACAGCCCAGGGTTGTGGGGAAGAGGCCCTTGTCCCCATCAACATGGGGGCAAGGTGCTTTGGAGGGGAGCCCCTCTGCCCCAAAGAAACCCCCCATGTTGAGGGCATGTGGCCTGGTATGGTTCAAGAGGGGGGATGCTCGCTCATCCCCCCCTTTGCAGACCTGCTGGATTTTGGGGGTTCCCCACGCCATTTTGTAAAACATTTTTGGTGTAGGGGTTCCCCTCAAAATCTATACCAGACCCGAATGGCTTGGTATGGATGGGAGGGGGGACCCCACATCGTTTTTTTTTTTTTTTCGGGCAATGCTGACAATTCTTTTTACATTCAGCTGTCAGTAAATTGTTTGTGTTCGAAGTTGAACATTCTGTAGGTTCAAATGTTCAACCGCGAACAGAACATGGGGGTGTTTGGCACATCACTATTAAAAACCAGGCAAAGCTACTTGCCCAAAAAGGTGCACAGGCTTCTGTTGCAGGAAAAACGCGCACAGGGCAGCCCATTCAAGTGAATGAGCTACCCTATATGTGATACATGAAAACGGTGCATGCAAAATTGTGGGGGGATTGCTCGTTCCCACTGTGCAATGTGTGAACGGGGCCTCAGATTTAAAACATGTAAATACATTGTAACCATTGTAAGCACCTCTGGAAGTGTTAGTTTGTTCCAACTCCCATCTTTCTTTCTTTTGCAGGAATACATTTAATAAATACAATGTGTACATGTATCATCCGCAGAATGTAAAGTAGTATTAAATCCATAACCAAAACTTAATATATTGCAGCTTACAATCGTTAGATGTGGTGTCTGCATTAGCTTTTTTCCCTCTGTTTTCACTTTTCACGTGATGTGGCCAGTAACACATCTCCTGTATTAGAGTGCCCCCCCTCTCTGGATGAAGGAGCACAGGGGGGCACATTTGAGCAGCAGCACTGCCAGTCCCAGGGAAGGGTAGTGTTACAGATTTAAATACAGTAAAAAACTGAAGCCAAACTCCAGCTAATACTTTATAAGCAATTACAGTAAACTGTTTTTTTTTTTTACTTTTTTTTTACTTTTGGGATAAAGGTTTTCCATAAATAAACAAAAGCTGATCATTAAAATGTTGTCTCATCCCTGTAACTGCAAGAGAGCTTGCTCTTTTGAAAAACAACAGATTTACTGGCTGGATCACCAGATGAAAATAGAAGAAAGAAATCCTAAAAAAGAAACCGATGCAGCCATCACATCTAAGGACTGGTAAGCAGAAATATAATAAATGTTTGCTTTTTGGTGCAATCAGTATATATTTTTCATGATAGTGGTCCATTAAAAGAAATGTAAAGAGTTGGTAAGCTCAAAACCAATATTTTCAGTTATGTGTGAATACTGGTGAGTCAACCTACTGACCACCTTCTCCTATCAATTAGAGGTCAGTAATATTTCTTACATTGATTTTGGCTATGATCTCTCACAATGCAGTGCTAACACCCCGTACAGCATAATAAATATAAAATGTAATATTTAAATGGTGAGACCCCTCAAAATGGCCATATCAAATGGATGGACCTGGAATGTCAAGTGAAAAATGTGCACTAAGGTTTCCAGAAAAGCACTGGATGGGTTTAAGGAGGGGGCATAAATCCAAAATTTAAAAGGAACCTGTCAGGATAGAAATATAGGAGCTTCCATTGCTGAGGCAATCATAGGGTTAGCGATCACTCGTGGGCCTTGCTGGCCTGTCAACTACCTCATCTCACACACTCCCCCCCATCATCCAGATGTGTAAGGTTAGGCAGGTGACAAGGGTGCAATATCAATCTTTAAGCATGTACAATTATAATAGTTGAAGCCAGAATATTCAGATTCTTGCATAAGCCTGATCGGGACTAGCTCCCTATAAATATCTGTTCTGGGTCAACTCAACCTTTAACTGTGACCATAACTAATCATTTGTATAAACATCTACAACAAAAATAGTTACTGAGAAATAGAAGTAAATCCCTATAGATAATGCAAAGTGACCAAGTGATAAGCATTAATGTAACTTGAAAGTAATGCAAAGCTTTACACACCTGGGCTCTAGTTTGAGATATGAGCCTCATTCCTGTGCCATCTAAAGATTGACCTACCAAGTCCAACCCCTATGATCACTTCTACAGCTGACATGACCACCTAATTACCTCTTGTACCTAAAACACTCAACCCTCACTATCTGTCCTGTACACTTAATCCTCCCAACTCCCATAACGCCACCTTGGGTAGTATGTCCCTTCTCCTCTTGGGAACTTGGATCACATTTGTAAAAGCAGTGAGGAAAAGCATTGAGCATTGGGAAAAGGTAAGTAAACCCAATGAGCAGTGTAATGGAAGCAGAGACTTGTTTGCAATCTCAACCTCTACATTTGTGCTCCAAACAATGAATATATCCTAAAGAATACATTTACACGTAACAAGATTTTTTTAAGGGCTTGCTCACGCTGTGTTTTCTTTAGGAATTTTGTTTGGCAGGTAAACGCCCAGTCTAAAAATGTACACTAAGTCAACTGGACCAGTTCAGGCTTCGCGGTTGAGGGGGAAGAATTGTACTGGCCTAACCGCAGCTTCCTATAGTTTACCTTGGTGGGGGGTGGTTGAGTCACAGGAAGAACACTGCCCAGAAAAATGCGCTGTGTTTGATTATTTTCTGAATCCAGCAAAGTTTGAACAAATTCTTAATTCCTAATGAACAAAAGAGCTGGTCTCCAAATGTATATATACAGTCATGGCCGAAATTGTTGGCACCCTTATATTTCTGAAATCATGTATCACGAAACGTATTGCATTAACACATGTTTTGCTATACACATGTTATTCCCTTTGTGTGTATTGGGACAAAACAAAAAAAGGGAGGAAAGAAAGCAAATTCGACATAATGTCACACAAACCTCCAAAAATGGGCTGGACAAAATTGGCACCTTTCACAACTGCGGATAAATAAGAATGTTACAAGCATGTGATGCTCCTGTAAACTCACCTGGGGCAAGTAACAGGTGTGGGCAATATAGAAATCACACCTGAAAGCAGATAAAAAGGAGAGACGTTCACTTAACCTTTGCATTGTGTGTCTGTCTGTGCCACACTAGCATGGACAACAGAAAGAGGAGACGAGAACTGTTGAGGACCTGAGAACCAAAAATTGTGGCAAAAATATCAACAATCTCAAGGTTACAAGTCCATCTCCAGAGAATTTTGCCTTTGACACAGTGCGCAAGACATTATCAAGAAGTTTGCAACCCATATAGCTAATCTCCCTGTGTCGTGGACGGATGAGGAAAAATTGATGAAAGATTGCAACGCAGAATACCCGGATGGTGGATAAGCAGCCCCAAACATGTTCCAAAGACATTCAAGCTGTCCTGCAGGCTCAGGGAGCATCAGTGTCAGCGCGAAATCCGTCGACATTTAAATGAAATGAAACGCTATGGCAGGAGACCCAGGAGGACCCATGCTGACACAGAGACATAAAAAAGCAAGACTACAGTTTGCCAAAATGTACTTGAGTCAGCCTTCTGGGAAAACGTCTTGTGGACAGATGAGACCAAGAAAGCTTTTCGGTAAAGCACATCATTCTAACTGATTTACCGAAAACGGAATGAAGGCCTACAAAGAACAAAAACCAGTACCTACGGTAAAATATGGTGGAGGTTCATGATGTTTTGGGGTTGTTTTGCTGCCTCTGGCACTGGGTGCCTTGACTGTGTGCAAGGCATCATGAAATCTGAGGATTACCAAAGGATTTTGGGTCGCACTGTAGTCAGAAAGCTGGGTTTGCGTCAAGATCCTGGGTCTTTGCAGGGGGAACATGGCATCAGACATTTGTGGAAGTTCTGAAGTGGCAGCAATGAGCCCAGAATTGAACACCATGGAGAGATTTAAAATTGCTGTTGGGAAAAGGTGTTCCTTCCAATAAGAGAGACCTGGAGCTGATTTGCAAAAAGAGTGGTCCAAAAATTCCGGGTAAGAGGTGTCAGAAGCTTATTGATGGTTATAATGGAAGCGACTGATTTC